GGTTGCCAGAACAGGGATTTCAGAAACACTAGCTAAAACATCTTGACAAGCTAAACAGTTTTTAGAACTGGAGTAGGTGGACTTAGCTGACTTCCTGCCAGCTCCAGAGTCTGCACACTGTCGAGGGAGATAAGCAGAGCAAGCGGAGTGGATTAAGGCTGGTGCCAGCAATCTGCAGATCCTGGACCTGCTCTCATCTCTGCCATTAGCAGCGCCGTGTCCTGAGCAAGCCCTGTCCTTGTTGGCCAAGCCTGTTCCTCTGTAGGTGAGCTAGGGGCAGGATTTACCTGTTTCTCTCAAAGAATGTTTATTTTCCTCGATTTCTGAGGGTTTAAGCCCTCAGCGTTATGACCTGCACCTATTCATGTGCATTTGGCAGATGCTGAACTGCTCACAGCTCTTAGCAGGAATGGACCTGAGCAATGCAGCCTTTGAGGAAGATTTTTTCACTTCAGATTTCAGTATTTTATGCTTTTATTATGCTTTCCATGAACAACTGACTGAAAAACTTAGCCTCCTTTCATCTCTCTTCCACACATACTGTGGTTGGCATTAACATCTCCAAAACAGGGAACTTGAAACTTCCTTCTGGTGATGTTATGATTCCAGTTGCATCTCAGTTATACAACATAAATGCCTAAAAATACAAATTCTCAAATCTTTCTTGCTTGGGCAAACTCAAGAACAGCAGCAGTGAACAATTAGCATATTTAGAATGCAGAATTTCAAATACTTATAGACACCCTAATTTTTAACTCTCTCCTTGCCAAAACACTTAACATGCATTTCAACATGCATCTTAAATTAATTTTTTTTTCAATATGCTTTTATTTCCTGAATATGTGCAAAAGGAATTCAGCATTATCTGATATGCTGTTGTATTTTTGACCCAGACCCTAACAGAGCTTGAAGATTCTTACAAACAGATTAAATCAATTTCTTGGCTTTGAAATTTCTGGTTATTTCTGGAAGTCAAAGTGAACAACTTGATATACAGCTCATGTCTCTTCATAGCTTTGAACTATCCACAACTCTCTTTGGGGTTTTCGTAAACACATTCCTTAAAGTCTGTGGCATGCTACTTCTTAAATTCTATCTGTACTACCCAGGGTCTTGTTTCTGCTCTCTCTTAGATTCAGAAATATTTCCCTATATTTCCATTTCTATTTGCACTTTGATCTGTTGGGGTTTTTTGACATAAGAGAAAGCTGCCAATAGACTTTTAGGAATAGGATTTTTTTCAAAAAGTGTATATATGAACTTAAACATTCAGAAAAAGGAGCAGTTTTTGTTCCATGCCTATATATTAAACATAACTATATTTGACAACTGAAAAGATAGCATCAGTGGCAGAAGCTATTACACTCTAAGACCAAAGCCACGATTTTACCTGCTAAAATGACTTCCTTACTCCACTAATCCCCCTCATCTAAGTTAAGAAAACTCCTCAAGAAAGTTTACCTGCTTATCAAGTGCTGAGCACTCTGAGAATCCCGAGAGCCAGGAGGAACCAGAGCTGTATTTCCAGCTGGCTCTCCGTGCCCTGCATTGGCTAGTGATGTTTAACAAGCAACTTTTGACAGAGGATTTTCCTTTCTAGGGGCACAGCAAGTTATGAAAGAGGACACTTGGCACCTTCTGAAAGAGAAGGTTCTTCCTTTATCTGAAATGGACCATCTGACACCTTCCTGCTTCATATCTGACACCTTCTTCTTTCATGGCTTTCCATTTTATCTTGTGACAAAGCCATGTGTTTTCGCTTGATCCCACTTGAGTTTGAAGATGGCAACCAAGGAAATATCAGCCACTTGTTTTTTCTCTTCAAACATGCCATCAGTTTGTGAACAAATCCAACCAAAAACCCCACCCCAAACCCTGACTATGTTTTAGATGCTACTAAACAAAACATGCTAAGAAGAGAAACCCAAGCTAAAAATAAAAAGTATCCTGTTTTCTTGATAAACCATCTATTAGTGTAATATGACTGGTAGATATTAAAAAAAAAAAGGCAAAAAAAAAAAAAAAAGCTTATCTCTAGTTCATTTCATGCTCATGCTCATGCTAAAGTTGATCCACTTAATTATTTCTACCATTATACAGCCCACTGCTGCTTTTTTCCTGCCTGGATAAAAGTGTCAGTGTTACAGGAGAGAGATTTTATGCTCAGAGGGCCTTGGATTAGAAGAACAGTCATTTTGATATTGGTGATTCGTCTTTGGCACCAGACTGCTTTTAAGCATGTAAAAAATTTTTATGCTGACATGTGTCTGTGTTACGAAATAATTTCAAACACTGGGATGGTAACAGATGTTATAGTCCAAAGAATAAAAACTGCTGGTTTAGGATAAAAAAAAAATCTTCCAGTGTTATTAGAAAACAGAAGAAAGCACATGGCATAATAGGTCAGTTTAATGGCATTGTTTGCAGCAAAGCTGACATTTCAGGCATAATCTGCTGTGCTCACTTGAAGTAGGACATTTTGCTGGGCAGAGGAGGATTTGATACATTCTTTTATATTGCTGTGTCAAATTGGATTAGAACATAATAAAATGGAGAATGTAAAATAAAGGCCTTTGGGCTCACTGGTTAGGCAGTGTAATAAGATGCACAAGGAATTAAAATGAATTGTGCTCTTCAGAAGTATGACAAACCTGTCATGTGCAGTTTGTGTGGAGTTTCCCTTTTTCTCATTCATTTCCTAGGAATATCCTTCCTGTGTGCACTTTCTGCTGACCTACATAAAGTGAATTCCCTGCAGTGACTTTGCCCAGCATTTTTCTGTTCTCTTAATTATTATTTGAAACAAGACGACGTTTGAATATGAATTATTGAAAACCTGTTACAGTTGATACAGTTTTGGTTTCCAACCATAAACTTCCCAATGGGGCTCAAAACTACACCAAAATTTCTTTCTGAGTTTCACTAAAGCTGCCTGCTGGCCTGGAGAGCAGCCACAGGAGGATTCACTGCAGCAGCCTCACCGAGTAGCCCTGGATGAGGATCCAGCTTCTGCTGTCAGTCTGAGAGATATCTCAGCTCCACAGACAAGAAAATGGGCTGAAACTTGGTTTCGTAAATGATGCATGGAGTATTTCTCATAACCCCATGGAACGAATTCTAACATTTGAAATTTCGGAAATGTTAATTGGTAAGCCGGGTACTCCACACTTTCATTTATCTGCTACTCTTATCTCAGAACTCACATTACCCAAAATTGGATGTGTCTCCTATGCACCATGAGTCACTTGCTTTGAAAAGGCCTCTGTTAGCTGGAAAGCCAGTGACAAGTCTAGATGGCAGGTCGTGTGTTCTGTTTGGATAAACAGGGTTACACTTCATGGGAGAATTGGTATCAGGAGGAATTAATAAATGACTCATGTTGCAATCCTGAATTTCATTTCAGATATTACAGAAAATCTGAATACAAACGATATGCTGCATTACTTTTGAAATTTGGAAGAAGTGATTCAAAAGAAAATACCAGAGCCAATCTTCTGCCTCAGTTAAAGCAGGGAAAATGACCTGTTCATATCAAAGCAGCCCCAGTGTGCGTGCACACTCAGCTTTCAGTTGACTGTGAAAAATGAAGTTGATCTTTGGACACTTAATGCTGTATGAAGGCAGCCTTTCACTTGCAATGACTGTCATCTGCTCCGTCACATCCTTACTTTTCCCTTGCAGCTGAAAAGCAGTAACTTCTCCTACAAAAGCCAGGTTTATCCTCCCTGACACCAAGTGTCCATGCCCCTGCCTGTACCCCAAGTGAGCAACTGCTTGTGCAGCTGTTGCACTTCCATCCTCATGTGGGACAGGATTGTGCAGAGAATTCACCTTAAAACTAGGAAAATATCCTTTTTCATAAAGAATTTTCCAAGAAAAACAAAAATATTTAATCAATTTGGTCTGTAATATGGGCGTGTTAGCAGACCACAGAGGTATAAGGTGAGGGTCTGAATTCAGGCAAGTTATTTGTCTCAGAACATCCTTTACTTTTCAATGACTTCTTATTGTCAGCTAAGCAGATGTTTCAGTGCTTTCCTGAACCGAGGTCTAGCAAACTTACCCTTTGATCTTCCTGCTAATGATGTCTGGTTTATTTGACTCTAAAATGTGCACTCCACTGGAGTGTGGTTTGACACAGCAAATGAAATGTTTCCTGACACTTGGCACTGGTGCCTTCACCCCTGTGGATTTCTGCACTGTATCATTCTCACTGAAGGTCTGTCCTCCCGAGGATGCGTGGGATTCATCTCTAATGGCATTACAAGGAGTTTGGCTCCTGCTCTGAGTAGAAAGCTCCTTCTTTTTTGGAAGGAATTTCCATGATTTTATACCTAGTCACTGTTTGGACTCCTGCATAGAACTCGATAGCAGAGACTTTGGAATAACTGAAATGCAGACTTCTAAAATACATTCCTCATTTCCCTGGGAACACAATGATGCCAAACAAAGAGTTAAACCAATTCAGTGTGTTAAACCATTCACTGCTTTCATGGAACAGCATTGTATGAACTCTGTTTGGCTGGATTGTAGCTCTGGGGTTTTCTGACTTTATGAGAATAAAGTCTTCAGTCTTTTGAAGAACTGAAGATTGCTGCTTAAGAAATGTTGAGTCTGCAGTTCTGGCTGATTAGTGTGCTGTAAGTTACATAAAAAATCATGCAAAACAGGAAGATAGGCAAAATAAGAAAAGTAATATTTCCTTAAGTAAGTTTCAGATTAAGTAAGATTAAAACATTCTCCAGCACTTCTGCCCTATCAGCAGGGCAGTGACTAAGCCCACTGTCTCCAACATAAAACATTTTTTAATATATCCAAAGAACAAGAAATAAGGATTGAAAATGTACTGTCAATTTCCCTGGATTAAGGTCAAAGCTTGAGAAAGAGAGAGAATAGAGTATTTTCCTTTACAAATTCAACAGACAATTTCAGTTTTAATCAGATTAGGGAAATGAAGTCAGAAACAAATAAAATTCGAAAAGAAGAATTATAATACTTACATTGGTGACATATTCAATATCCTTCCAAATATTACATTCCCTGGGAAAATCTGCCAAATCTAAAAAATTATCCACTACCACTTGGCCAATCAAGTCGTGCCTGGAGAATCTGTCAAAGTCATACACAGAGAAATGGAGTTTCCTTGTGTTGAGATCATTGTAGGGGACAGTAAATAAAAAAACTTCATCAAATACTGGATTTAGGGTCTTTCTGTGCACTTTAGTCTGGTGTTTTGTTTTCCTGTCGGGGAGCAGATATATCTTCACATAGGGATCTGAAGTTCCAGAGAAGTCCTTTGCCGGCAGGTTGACGGCCTTGTGAATCTTCACTATCAGCTGCTCTAGATCACAGTCATACTTGAGGATGAAGTTGAGTTTTCCACAGGCCTTGCTGTTACTCCTCCGGCCGTCGTCCGTGTCCAGCGATCTCTGCTTGTACAGCTCTGGCTTGATGCGGCCGATGCCCGTCAGCTGCTCCTGCTTCTGCACCTGCTGGATGTTGAAGTCAGGGTTGGACAGGTTGAGCTGTCTCCGGAGTGAGTTGTGCCTTAAAGCCAAAAAGAAAGAATTGAAACAGGCGGTGCACACACGCTGAAGATCCCGCTCGCGTTCGGCGTTTCCGTAACGTACGACGGGGTCGGGATTTTAACAAAGGGATCAACCCTGACACCCGGCGTTTGTGAGAGCTGAACTTCAGCACCAGACTGCTACTGCCACATCCGTGTCTGTTCCCACGTCTCAGTCTGGAAATGGTTTGCTGATCACCCCACCAACTGTTTTCCTTTTTCTCTCACACCTGCTGTAATAAACTCTGTTGTCTGGAAAGCTCCTTTACTTTCATTAGCTGAGGATAAGAATGTTGCTTTCAGCTTTGGTCCAGTGAAATTTAATAATTCACACTTACTGTGACTGAAATTTCTCCTTCATGGACGGTAACAAAAATCAAATTTGCAATCCCTGTTGAGGTAGGGAGATGTGAAAGTGAAAGCTGAATTAGGTAAAAGCTTAATCTTCCATGAGTTCCATTTTATTGTCCTATTCATATGCAGCAATCACTCAGTGTATTGAAGCACCAGGAGCTCAGGTTGAACACAGAAAGAGCATGTGGAAAATGCCAGCACAGGATTAATCCAAAGCTGTCTATATTGAATGCAATCAGCAAGAGTTCCTCTGCTATAATTGTTCATTCATTCCTGGTAAATATCTGTTTACCCATGCTTAAAGCAGGAACAGCCTCTTATGTGCTATCCTAATTTTTTTTTTCTCTTGTTGCATAATAAATACATAATCTTGTGGCTCTACATTAGTCATTTCCAGGATAAAATATTATCATGTCACCAAAGAAAAAAAAATTCAACCCTTAAGTGCCTCATGGCAGTGAGAGGCACAGAATATCCTGTGCAGGAATAAAAAGAAGAGGCTAGCGAAGAGACACTGGGCTAGTGCTGTACCTTCTCCAGCTGAAGTGCATCTGCTTTTACTCAGATATTTACTGGCTCTTCACATGCTGATCCTAATTCTTGCTGTATGAAACATAATCCTTTTTTCATCTGCCCCTGCACACACTCTCAGCCTCCCCCTTTCCTCTTCCCTCATGTACTGGTCTTCCAGTTCCCCCGGAGACTTCACGGGCTCTTCTTCAGTCATTCTTCCCCCCACAGTCATGATTGTGGCTAAAATCTACCATTTTTTAATCCTATTTCTATCTTTCAAGAGTTTCATTAGCTTGCCCTACTTTTCTTCTTTGGAAAAATCTTTGAGGACATATTACTGAGTGTTCAGCATCAGTGCTAAGTGCAAATGAATATGCTTTACAAGCTAAATCTAGGCTCTCCTGGTGCTTTTGAGGGATGCAGGACTCTGTTATCCAGGTCCTCAGGGAAAAGCACCAATGAGACAGTAGTTGTGATGTCTCAGGATTTTAGCTTTTATATTTTTAATATATTTGTAGTCCTGCAATTTTAGTGTATAGCTCTTTAGTGTATAGCTCTAAACTCTATATAAAGTGTTAGTTGCTGTTCTCCCAGTTTGGTCAGGCAGAACAATTCCTCTCCAGGCCTGGCAATCAAGGACACCTCACTGCCTCAGGCCTCAAGAGATGGAAACAAAAGTGAGTTGGGGGCAGCAAACTGGGGGTAAATGACGTCATTACCTGAAGCTGTAGTTGGAAGATTAACCCTCATTATGCAAATGGACCAAGCTTATAAAAGTATGAAAACCTGTGACCTGTCGTCCATTTCGGGTACAGTCCCTGGGTGGGCTTTGTCTGCCCAAAATGTACCTGAAGGCCCTTCAATAAATATAACTGCTTTTTATTCCCTTAATTTTGTCTAGCCTCCGTTTTTAGGTAGTCCCAACACAACATCAGTTGCAAGAAGAATGGAATAGGATTGTGAGCCTGTCGCTTCGACCTACGAGGTTTGTGCACCTCAGTGAACAACTTCTGTATATATATATATGGCAACATGGCAAGAAAATGATACCTTTTTTTAGATCAGTGTGCCATGCTTTTTGGGCTGTATTCACAAATAACAGAGACAAATCGGAGCTACTGACCGGGCAGACGAGGTGGGCTCAGTGGTCTGGCGCTGCATCCGCACATTGGGCACGCAGTTCTCCTTGGCTCCCGCCTGGGTGTCCAGCGGGAGGTCTGGGGAGGTGTGGCTGATCTTCATGGAGGCCTCGGGGTAGGCGGCGGGCTGCCCCAGGTACTCCTCGCTGTAGTCGCGCTCATTGGCGTCCGCGTCCGCGTAGTGCAGCGGCTCCTGCTTGCCGTCCTTGTTCCCGAAGGGCAAACCCCGCTCCCGCCACGGGATCCAGCACAGCTTCCAGGACACGAACAGGGACACGCCGAACAGAGCCAGGCCACAGGCTGTGACAACCAGGGACAGCAGGCTTATGGAGATATCTGCAAAGGAGAGAAGCGCATCCGTGTCACTCCTCGGCGCTCCGTGGAGCTCAGTGTCTCCAGAGCGCCAGCACAGCGCCCAACACCTCTGGACTGCAAATTAAATTCTGGTCCCTGCAACGGTCATAAAATTATTAATAGTTCTAATTTCTTTCCCCCAAAGGAGAAAATAAGAATTTTGGAATTCAGTATAAGACGTGAACCTAGCTTACAATTTCCCTCCAAAATCTGGGTGGGATGAAAGGTCATTCTAAATCTGAAAAGGGTGGTTCGCTTGCTCACTCAGCTTCCTGTTGATGAAAAAGCTGTGCCTGCAGTATATTTTATCTTTTTGGATTTTTTTCTTTTTAGGTAGTGCAGTTTTCTCCACCTGTTTTACCAATTCTTACTAGCTTCTCTTCCAGAGCCTGTATTAGGCTTAAACACCATGAAAATATGCACACAACCACCTCCGTGATATGAATTTTTTAAGTATTGCACTGCTGTATCGTGGTTTATTATTTTAATTCCATTCCATCTAATTTTAGACTCATTCCTATATTTGCAAATTATTTTTGACTCTCAATGAATGGCTTGTTCTTTGTAATTTAATTAGGATAGCAGTATCTCTTCAAAACTGAGGTTTTACTGGGTTTTGTAACTCCAAAAGCACTTTTTTTTCTTTTTCCAAACTTCTGGTATAAAAGCAATGTGGAGATGAGTTTTCTGTTGTTTTCCCCACATTTCCAGCATTATCCTACTCCATCAACAGAAATAAGTTAGGGGGAGTGGGTTTTGCTCTGTTTTGCTTTAAGTTGCAGGTTGGGAAAATGACTCAGTGGAACAGCTGTTTTTGTGGTTACAATGTTTTTGAAATGAATCTCTCTGTGGATTACACAATACATCATGCCTTGAACACAATTAGTGAGGATTCTATTTTACTGCCTTCAATTATAAACACAAGCTGATCAAAGCAATTTTTCACACTATGTGTAGGTTCAGAGTGTCAGGCTGCATCTCTCTAAGCAAACAGCTAGCCTGAATTCTCAAAGGATGGCAGAAGGTTGAAATGTACTGCTTCTACTAAGACAATTATTTAAAAATGACAATTCAGATGAAACAGCCCCGGTCCATTCCAAAATAAAAATAACATTTTTTTTAAAAAGTGGAAAAGTCAATACCTTCTGCCCCTGCTGTGAGTCTCATTCTCACCAGCCAGACAGATTAAATTTCCACAGTGGGGGGAGTGACACTGCAATCCATTTCACACAGGAGCTGTCCAGTTTATTTTGCATGCTGCAAACCAATTTCAAACAATTTTAGCCAGCACGGCCCTTTCTGTCCTTCTCCGAGTCATATCAAGACAAAGCTCATTAACAGTGGGGACAGCACAGCAGCTGCTTGGAATTACAGCAAAGAGTTTTTCAGAGCTAAAATTAATTAAAGAATTCTTCCCATGCATAAAAGGGAATTTGGGAGAGAGTGGAATGGTAGTTCTTGATAATTTTTGAATATTTATTGGTAAACAAATCTGGCAGTGGAGGCAGAGCACAACCTCTTTTTGATTAAAAAGCTGAGGATCAAGGATGCTGAAGTGAAAGAAGGCATTTAGAATAAAGTAATTTGTCTTGGATTCCCTGGAGAAGAAGCAAGAAATACATGAGAGGGCTGCAAAAAGGCCATTTATTTCAAAGAACTGATTCGAGTAAATGACCCAGCATTGAAAGAAATGAGAAATTTGGAGTTATCAGAAGAAGCCAGAACATTACAAGGTGACAACAGAAGACTGCCCAATGATAAGAGTGTGTGAATACAAAGGTGAGGAACAATTTGAAAAGCAGACCAGCAGTCCCCTACCCTACCTTGAAGATGACTTTAGCAGAGGAAGTTTTCTAGAGAACAGACACTGTGAGAAGAAACACATGAGGGCAATATGAACTGTTTTTTATTTGGAGAGTCTGGGGGGCTTATAACATCTATAACACCATCAACTCACAGCTTGCTTGCAGAAAAGCTGGGCAGTAAACAGTGCAGGTCACAGCAGGAGAGGGGAGTGTTTATCCCCAAGTGTCATCTTGGTTTCACTTCTTCCTGACTCCTTTGTGGCAGAAAGAAGTTTTTTGTATTAATTTTTGTTTCTGTGGGTGGAAAAGAGACCATCACGTATCCATCTTGCTTCTGTGGAAGACAGTAGACTAAAGGGTAGTGCTCTAAGCTTTTCCCTTTCATCAGACAGTAATTTTCACATCCTGTGTGCCTGGCAGGCAATTTTCAACAACAGTGCAGATCCATGGTGAAATCTGAGGTGAGCAAAGTCCCATGTGAAGAGATTTTTGGCTGCATCCCTGAGCTGCTTTTCTATTAGCCACTTGTACTGTTACATACTGTATTTTCTGTATAATTTTTACTCCATCTTTCCAGATGTCTCAGTTTTTCTAAGCCTGTTTATCTGCATTCTCCTGTGGTAGCAGTACTCATCTGATGCCAGTGATTTCCTCTGCTTTGTAATGAGAGCAGGGTAAGTCTTTGCTACTTTGTCCTCACAGAAATGAGATCTGCAGCACACAAAGTGTTCCTCAGAAATCCAGCTGCTTCTAAATTCCCTCTGTGAAAGCCATGGTGCCAGCCAAGCATCTTGATATGAATCCAAGTCAAAATTTCACAGTTCTACCTTTGTCAACATGGCTGCACTAAGAGCTGAGCTCCCAAATTCCGGCACGTCGAATACTTGGAATATAGCACCTTGATTATAGCGTGTTGCTGCTGGGCAATGTGTTCCCCACTAGCAAAGGAGGCTTTTGGACAGACAGAAAACAAGAGGACAGACCTTTAGACCCAGATGAAACATTCTTGAGATTTGGTAGCTTAATTCTTCTCTTAATTAATTCTCTTAATTCTTTGTCTATTGAGACTGTGACTTCATTGTTAGAGGACTCGGGAGGCACTGGCACTATTTCCATGCATTTCCAACAACCAGGAATTCAGCTATGGTTTCCAGAAGAACACAGGCTCTCTAAATATCTTGCTCATGGCATTGTCTCACAGATATTTTGGTGCAATAATCAATTTTTGACCAGGTTTCCATGTTTCAATGCCTTTTATTCTACTGACTTCAACCTCATTTATCTACTATGCTTATCAGCATAATTTTTCTGCTTTTTTTTTGTTGTTGTTTTTGTTTGGTTGGTTTTGGGTTTTTTTTTGGTTGCAATCACAAGGTTAAAAATGATGTGGAAATAGCAAGCAAAAGGGAGTTTTCTACCTGTGGATCACACCATCGTTGTTACTACAGATTGGAAAGATGAACATGGCATTTCTGTCTGTGACAGATTTTATTACAGTCAGTGAGATAAAAAACCCTCAGTCCTTTTATCAAAAAGCAGTTTGGTCACTGCTGAATGCTGAACCTTTTTACATTTTTTTACTTACATTTTAATGTAGATCTTTCACACAGAAAAGAGAAATCCCACTTTTTATGTCAAGAGATTGTATGATAGGAATATAAATTCTCCTTTTAAAGAGAATCACAGAACCTTTGGGGAAGGGACCCTTCAGATCATTTGGTTCAACACTCTGCCCAAGCAAGGTCACCTTACACAGAATATGCCCAGATGAAATTTCTCCAGAGATGGAGACATCCCCAGCCACTGTGGGCAGCCCATTCCAATGTCTGAGAGACACCAAGTATGTTCATAGCACAATCTCACTTTGGCAGGGATGAAATACTAAGTGGGTAACATTTTTTAGATCACAATAACCAAAATTTCAGTAACGTTGCAAGACATAGCTGCACTATGTAGATTATCTAGTAAAAAAGCAAATAAAATTATGTTTCTATTTATATTTCAAAGGTTTTTAGCATATATCCACTGAACAGAAGCTTTTATATTGACTCTGAATAAAATCATTTGTTGTTCTAGAAGAATTTGAATTGTCTTGAACTTTTACATGCATGGTGCATGAGTGTTATTCAGTATGGGAGGCTGTAAGACCAAAGATAAATGTGCAATGATTCCATTCAAATACTGACAGTACCACACTGCAAGCCTGTGACTTGTTTTTTCTGGAATGAATGGTTGTGCTTTGCCATCTAAAACTCTGATGCTGAAAAATCTCACCAAAAAATCAGACAAGCAAAATACAGAAATGTGGTGGCTTTGTTTTTCATATGTTAAACAAGGATTGAAGTTTTTGTTTTTGTTTTTTTTTTTTTTGTATTTATTAAGTTACCATTTGGATTGCTAAATTTTATACAAAATAAAATATCTAAATTAGCCAACAATGGGAAAGGTCAATTGCTAATGCAGATCAATTTATGTGTCTAGACATGCAATTGGAGTTGTGGAATCAAAAAAGCACAAATTATAATGTTTGGATTTGTCTGACTCTAAAAGATTCAAATAAGAGCCAACATAAGATAAATAAAAAACAACTGAACTGGCAATTTTGTCATCATCCAGGCACAGAGAGGACATTTTATCAAAGGAACTGCTGATCAATAATGTAATTATTTAGACAATTAAGTTGTTGGTTGACTGGATGTGACTGGTGTTTCACCAAATGAACTCCTTTCCCAACAAACTGGCTGTAATTTGGTTTAACTTGAGGCTGAATGAGTTTTACTAGAAATCCTAACTGGGAAAGTTCTTTACACATTCTTATCAAAGTACAACAAACTTTCTTTTCTCTGCTGATTTACTCTCCTGTTTTTATTAAAATGACTATTCCATTATTCCAGAAGTATTGTAATATACAGTTGATCTGCTGGGTGAAGTTTGGCTAGCAAGTGGTAAAACAAATCTCAGCAATTCCAAATCTTTCAATACAGATATTTTTAGTCCAAAAGAAGCAATCTTCCCCTATTTATACCCAACAAGTTGCAAAAAGCATTCAAATAAAATAACAAATTTCTTTCTGAATAATCATATTACTAGAATATAGGATATATTGGGACAGATCAATCTTTGCAAATATGATTCTAAATTAAGTGGAAATTTCAAACTTGTCATCTCCTGAGGGGAAAAAAAATCCTCTTTTCATTACTTTTTTGTTGTTTGGGGGGAGGTTTTAAGGAATATGTTTAGAAGTCTGGTTTCTTGAAAAACAATGAAAAC